ACTTGAAGATGTCGCCCATGCAGAACCATCGCCAATACCAGGTATGTGCCCTCACATCATCATCATCATCATCCTTCTCTCTTCCCCTTGACTCTATCCCACGCCTCCCTTTGTTGTACACCCGAAGACCACCCCTGCGCCTCACTCTACATCCAAGCCCTGCCAGCCATGGAGGTTGGGCTATGGCGCTGCTCCCTGCACGACCGCACGTGCCTGCACCTCTGCGCTCAGCGCTTGCAGCAGCCCACGAGCTTCAGGTCCAGCAGCGCTGCCGCCAGCATGCGAGTGCCCAAATCCTTTGCCAGGCAGCGAGCTCTTTCCTATATGGAAAGAGCCTGCCTCATTCGGCAGCCTGGCTGGACTGGCCTGGGCCCAGAAGCTTACGGTAGGCCTCAGGATGTTGCGCCTCTGGTGCAGCTACTCGCCTCATTCGGTTGGGCCTCCCAACTGTCTGTGTATGAGGCTGCGAATCTGGCCCAGAACCCGTGCTTTCGCAAAGGCCTAGAAGGCCTGGGAATTTCCACGCTGCTCGGCTTGTGTTTCCCTTCAACCAACTGGCGCGACGAAACTGCCTGGACCCCCAAATGCGAAATTTAACAACGAAGGGCCTATCGTGATTTGTTAGGCTCGCCTTCACTTAGGGCAGGCACTCTTGCAACAGGGGCCCCTCAGGCCTACCGAGGACCCAAGTCCTCGCATTCCCTCCTCCTTTACTTCGTTAGTCCTCTGAGAAGTCTGTTACTCTGCAGGCATCTTCTCTTTGAGTTCTCTTTCGTAGCCTGCAATCACTTGAGGTGATGTTCTCATGAGTTCCTCTCGTGTGATCCAGCGATCTTCTTTAGGATCCAGATGGTGTCTGAATCTCACTCGATACTGCATTCTTGGTTTAGGAGGGCGGCCTCTACCTGATGGTCGAGGTACTAGCATTACTTGATGCTCCACGATCTGGTCAATGTCCACTTCGCCATCCATGGTTGGGGGCAGCATTGATCTTCTTGAGTGCATCAGAGAGTACCGGTTGTGTCTTGATCCAGCGCAAGGTCTCATGGTCAGATCTTACGTAAAAGAATCTTCCAAGGAGATAGTGTCTCCAGTGAACCAGCGCTCTATACAAGACATAGAGCTCACACTCGTAAGTGGACCTGGCTAGTTTTTGAGATGGCATCTTTTTACTCGTATACTCGATAGGTCTCAACTTTTTCCCCTCCTTTTGCGCAAGGACCGCGCCTATGCCATATTGGCTTGGCGTCTGTGGTCACGACAAAGGGCTGATCAGAATCCGGGGGCTTGAGGACTTCATAGTGTGTTAGAACATACTTCAATTTCTTAAAGGCTACCTCACACTCTTCTGTCCATTCCCAAAGGGTGTCAAGTCGAGTTAGATCTGTTAATGGGGAAGCTATAGTACTATAGTTCTTTACAAACGGATGATAATAGCCCGTCATCCCCCAAAATGATCTGACCTCAGTAACAGTCTGAGGTCTGGGCCAGTCACGAAAGTTGGCCACCTTTGCATCGTCTGTCCTCAACCCATCTGCTGAAATTTCATGACCCAAGTACAAGATCTTGGTGCGACCAAACACACATTTCTCCAAGTTAACCTTGTACTGGTGCTGTCTTAGGAGACCTAGCACTATTTTCAAGTGCTCAGCGTGCTCCTCTACAGTCTTACTAAAGATGAGGGTATCGTCGAGGTACATGACGATGAACTTATCTAAGTAATCATGAAAGCTCTTGTTTATTGCGTGCTGGAATGTCCCAGGCGCATTGCATAGGCCGAAGGGCATCACCACAAACTCGTACAGACCGTACCTGGTCTGAAATGCAGTTTTGTGCTGGTCCTCAGGTCTAATAGCAATTTGATGGTATCCGGACTTTAGATCTATCTTAGTAAAGTACCGGCATCCCTGCACTCTATCCAATAGGTAGGGGTTCTGTGTTTTTAATAGTGATGGCATTGAGACCCCTATAATCAATGCACATCCTCAGGGTACCTCCCTTCTTCAACTGGGGCGCAGTAAGGGGAGGTACTAGGCCGAATCCATCCCTTCTCTGTGAACTCCTTGAGCTGGCAGCGGAGCTCATCCAACTTTGCAGGAGACATCCAATACATTCGTCCTCTAGGCACCTTACTACCTGGGACAACCTCTACTGCATGCACATCCTCCCTTTCTACCACGCCTGTGGGCTCCTAAAAAAGGTCAGAATATTGTGCGACGACTGATTCTATCTCTGGGGGTGTTTTAACGGCCTCCCCTTTCTCAGAGACAAAGACTAGATACATGCCCTCCTCGCGATTCTGCTTATAATAGTTATAGAAAGATGATGCACACATGCACCCGTAGTTTTCTATCAAACTGCTAGCTTTAAACTTTTGCAATCTAATAGATCTACCATTGGGCAATTTGTGAATCAACACCTTTTTATCCCATTCAAACTGCGGTTACGCGACCTCGATGTAGTACATACCTAGCAACATATCAAAGGGCAGTTCGTCGCTAACCAGGGAGGAGATTTTATGGCTCACTTCCCCTCCTCCATAGGAGAAGGTACATACAGACTACGTCCTTGACATAGTCTTTTACCAACATTTGGTGCTTGTTGGCCAGCGTAGAAGCTACAGTCTGCTAAGCCGCTGCACTTGGTCCCCGAAGCACAGTCTATCCACACAAGCACGACTGGTGAAGTTTCGTGTAGAGCCTATATCTGCGAAGGCGCCAACTTTGCGACCACCTACATCAACCTCTACCATGAAATGTTCACCCTTTGGACCTCTACTGATCATCGCCCAAGAGTCTCTGGGGTCCTTCCCTGACCACTCAGTCTCTAACTCTTCTAGGGCCTCAGACACATCTCTCGAACAGAGCGTCGGTGGGTCTAAATGTGTCCGCGGGGCGATACGTGGGTCACTAGCCCTGGCCAACGCCTGAAGTGGGGAAGGCAACGTTACCACTTCAGCTCGAGTAAGAGCGGCTAAAACTCCTACTGGCCTGAGGTGTTTTCCTGCGAAGTGCTCGTAGAAGCACCGCCAAGGTTCGAAGATAGTCCCACCACTGTTGGGGAGGCTACCCTCGTCAGGACGTTTTTGCCTCGGCACGTTCGGGACGTGTGGCCATAATTGCCACAGTTCATGCACGTGCCCCTAGCGACTCGGTCCCTCCACACCTCATACTCTAAACCAAGTTTCACCCAAGCGGGCGTGCCTTGGTCGCTCTGACCCGTAAACCGGCCTACCTTCTTCTTCCCGGTCCCCCTAGCCTTTTCTTTGATGGGTGCCACGACTTCCCCATCCGAAGTCTCGCTGGCCCCATCGTGCTCTGTCTCCTCCCCAAGGTCTGGGAAGCCGTCAATTTTTGTCACCTGACCATCGTGGTCGATGAACATTAGTTGACCTTTCTTCTTCCAGTCCTGGGGTAGTCTCTTCTTCCTACCATCTCCCTGACTCTGATGTGCAGATCCCAACTTTGCCTCTATGTCTAAGGCTTTCTTGTTGAACGAATCGAAGTTCTGTTAATCGACATAGGCCTCGTCTACCAGCTTTGTCCTAACCTTTGAAGGTAGACATCTAAGGTAATTCGTAATGAGTACATGCTGGCCATAGCGCACGCCAGGTACCACGAGCAGACGTTCTACGGTATCCGTGAGCTCCCTAACATTTTTGTACCTTCTGGCACAAAGACTGTTGATCGCGTTTGTGACCTTTTGAGCCCCTTGCGGGTCATGCCACCTATTATGCATGGACCGTACAAACCCTTCCAATGTCAGGGCCTGGGCCCAGGCATCGAAGTTCTGACCGTAGCCCTGCTGCTGCACTAGGCCATTCAACCAGCGGGCTGCTGACCCCTCTAGAAAGGAGGCAGTCACTACAACTTCTTGCTTCGGCCTGGTAAGTTTGTGCCTCACATAGGTAGGCACCGTCCTTACCCAGGTGTCCAAGTCCTCATCCTTCTTCCTGTTGTCGGAGAAAGTCTTAGGACTCAGCAAGGGTATTTTGGGCATCCACTGGATAGGCTGCATTGGCCCAGGGGTTTGCTGCAGTGGCTGCATAGCCACCGAAACAGGTTGCTGCACACTAACCTGGGCCTGGCTTGACAGTGGGACTGTAGTAACCACTGTCGTCGATGGTACGTCTGAGACTCTATGAATCGGACCACTAGTTGCTACATAACCACCTGGAGGGAGCATGCCAAACATAAGTGAGAATGAAGGCCCTACCGGCTGCAGCGTCACTAATGGACCCGCACCCGGAGGGGGAGCTACAGCAAACTGAGGTTGCCTCATCAATGGATGAGGAGCCTGTAATGCAGCCAGAATTCGTTTTTGGCCTGCCACTAGTTCAGCCAACACCTCCTGCTGAACTACCTGTGTCTCCGCTACACAAAGGAGCAAGTTACGCAGCGCTCGCATCGCAGGGTCAAGTGTTGACTCATCTAATGCTTCTAGCTTGCCTAGCTCCTGCAATCTACTACCTAGTCTAGCTTTCCTCATTATAGCTCTCCTTCTCCTCTCTGCTGCTTCGTCCAATTGCCGCTGCAACTCATCCTGAAGTTATTCTGCTTGGAGGATCTCATAATCCTCTGCGCGTGAGTTGAGTCTGCTGGCTGACTTGCAAGCTAGCACTTTGGCTAATGGAAACCCGAGAACCACTCTGGCTAACTCCTGACGAAGTGGCCTGTGAAGAGGCCTGCGACATGGTAGAGGAAGTAGCCATGGTCGTACCGGTGCTAGCTGAAATCCTACACCTGGCACTATCCTCAGCGACCCTCGCTCTCCTTGTCGTTGTTCTCTCTCTAGCCTCTCTCCGCAGTCTCCTCTTGTCTCCTGGACCTAACTCTAGGAAAGTCAAAGGTTGACTGAGAGCAGTTCTATGAGTAGTCCTACGGTCACCCACTAACAACTCCTCACTAGTGCTTGCATCACTGATGAGCTACAGTGTGTGTGATCTAAACTAGAATCCACACTGAATCCTACCTCAGCATGACACACAACCGATTGTGATACACAACTAACTTCGGTCTGACTGGACAAAAACAGTTAGGTAGTTAGGTGTCAACCAATGTCAGATCCTACAGGTAAGTTTGATTCTATTTTTAGATTACTCTTGCACAGATTGCAATGCAACAAGGAAAAGAACTAACCTATCTGCAGTTGTCTGTTAGTTGTTAACAAGTCCGTAACAACTAAATAATCAAAAATAAAATAACCTACCTGTTGAGATGCATGCTGGATGGCAGTTTTGTTTAAAAGGTGCCATCGCGAACAGTTACAGGAATCCCCTCTCCCCCTGTGTCCTTCTTGAGTTGTCTCTTTGTGTCAACGTCCTGAGCATCTGGTTGAGCAGCGTGTCTAAAGGTGTGCAATCTAGCCCACCCCTGTGCCCCAAGTCAACGCCGAACCTGCCAGCCCCTGCACATTATTTATCCTCGCATGCAACGAGCCTTACACCCGGTTTGATCTGGCTGATTAGGAGGCATTTGACGAGATCCCCCGTAACTCCTCAGGAATTATTTAACGTCGTAAACAGGACAACGATCACAGCCAGAATCAACACGGAGTCCCCACCAGAAATATTTAGAGACGGTCTGGAAAGCATATGTTCACAGGGCTGGCATGCCCTGCATGACCTCTATTGCGCAGCAGCAGAACCAAGGACTTGCGGCAAAGCATGCGTGTACTAGTCCCAGTGGGTTGGCATGGTGACCGTGACCCGAGTGCTTCGTCCAGGGCCCTTCAAAGGCATCGCCCGTCTCCCACCAGCTTGCTGCCCAGGAAGAATGTCGACTCTCAAGGTTGAGCGCTCGCGACACCTCACATTGAGAGGACTCTCAAGACAAGACTCACTTCCTCACGGTAAGAAGCCATGAAGAGGGTAGATAAGGAAGGAAGCAACGTACCTCATAATGCTGCCCCCAACCACAGATTTCTCACCGGCAACCTGATGTGCATTTATGATGCAGTTCACCTCGGCTTAAATGCCAACCCTGCTTAAATGCCCACACGACCCACAACAGAATGCAGTTCCACCTCGGCTTAAATGCCACATCAGAATGCAGTTCCACCTCAGCTTAAATGCCACATCAGCGAGTTCTCATCATCCAGCATATACCCCTGATGTCACCACATAGCTTCCTGGCGTGCCCACACGACCTTGAGCCGCCTAATGTCCAATCGCCCAAGCCTTATCACTGCCCCACACCTCATGCGAAGCACCGAACAGCTAATGCGAAGAACCAATGAACGCAGTTAGAACCAACTCTGATACCAAATTGCAAGGAAAATGAACCCAAGCAAGATGACAATATTCAGATTGCACAATCACATTGAAAGCCAAATCGTAACACAGTGTTCAAGAAGCAGCGTTGCACCAATATAACACCAATAGAGAATCGTAGTACTGAAAGTCAATGTCAATGAGAGCTTGCTCTCGCCACCACCAACATATGTATCCAGTCTCTATCTCCCTACTTGGCGCTCAATGCCCAGCCTACTCCCTACACAGCTACTACTAGCCTACTAATTGACAATGCAACTGTTGACGTCAGCAGCACCCGAAGTACTTGAAGATGTCGCCC